CTCTRCAGGTCTACARTTCGATTCCCTTCTACCCTGTGACCTACGAAACCCTGCCTACCACTGGCAGTCCTACAGGTCGCGGGTTCAAGTCTACGGGTTGACATCCATACTGTACACAGGCAAGATGGGGAACTAGGGATCGAGCCCTGGGATCTGCATTCGCTACTGCGAGCTGGTGAATACCGTTTCAAATATACTGAATGCATCGTTTTTGTGGCGAGTGTTCTTCCTCCATTTTGGCCTGCAATCGACATGCCATTTGTCGGGAGTGTGTGTTGGGCATGCTCAATGCCAGCCGTTGTTGCAATTGTTGTGCTGAGAATGCTCAGCTATTCTCAGCAAGGTCTTCTGTTATGATCTTGGTTGTCTAACGATTTTATCGCCACTCACACGCAGACAATCTCATACACGCCCATACATGCATAAGAGAAGGGGGAGAGGAGACAGAGTCCACACTGCACACAGATCAGAGTAGGCAGAGGAACACAGCTATGCACAGATGGGGAGAGAACACACAGTGTTTCTCACTCTCTGACAAACTCCCAACAACCAATCACAAGTAGAACTGGCGAGGATAACAATTGAAACTGCACTGATGATGAGCCAACTCAAACAATTATCGTAACAGAGTTTGTTCCAGTATCTCGCCACTCTCAGAACTCACACCCCACTCTCTATCCTACACCCAGTTAGTAGCGCCACATCAGAATGGCCTCCCAGAGGCCAGCGCCAACCACCCTGATGAAGAACAGGTCCTGTGATGAAGTCTTCAGTGCCGATGGACAACTCTGACGAAGGAACAGGCAGCTATGGCTGCCACCACCCACGAGTACACAGTGTAGAGCCTCGATGTAGTCCGGCCAGACGCAGGTACCCCAGGGGTAGATGCGCTGAGGATGCCCCAGCTATGGCAGACTCAGACTGGGCCGGGTATGGCTGCTGTCAACGGCGAAGTCTCAGGATGCCGCTTGCAGACAGACACCGCCACCAACTTGCTTGGCTTCTCCCACGCTGCTTCGCGAGAAATGAACCGCCAAAAGTCCTGAACCGATGGGCCTAACCTATCTATAGACTACACTAGACCTAGACCGGACTGACTGACCGATCGGTACCGTTTCTGTTGCGGCCTCTCGACCTCTACCGGACCTGGCTATAGGCTATAGGACCGTCTATCAGATTAGGCCCTTAGGGCCTGTCTGTCCTAGAGGTAGCCTGGTCATGCCATACGCAATTAGGGTAGCTGTAGGAATTCGGGTTAGTGCTGGGCCTGTATTTTCCCATATTTGCAGATATGTCCCTCATGAATTTCCTTACAGGTGGGTCTCTCGGTTAGCCCTCAGCCAAACAAAATTACGAATCTAGCCTCGCAGTCAGTCTCGGCAGTCAGAATCAGCAAGTCATTGCACTTCCATGTTCTCATCCACCTCATCCTTACAATGTGTGTCCTCTCTGTCGTCAAGGACAGACTCATTGTGTTTATCACCTCCCCCTTTACTTTGCCTGTTTCTCACAGCGTACAAGTGGGCCGTAATGCACGGGGATGCGGGCAGCTCGCGCTCAACTGCATTCCCTTTTTTCGTTCTTTGCTTCTCTTCTCTTCATCTCTCTTCCTTGTGTTTATTACCTCCCTCTTTACTCAGCCTGTTTCTCACAGCGTACAAGTGGGCCGTTATGGCACGGGGATGCGGGCAGCTCCCGCTCAACTTCATCAACATGGCGAGCCTTGTATGTGAGAGGCACGGTGAAGGGGGAGTTGAACTATAAATAGTTTTACAAAAGTGCCCCTCATCTTTGTTTTTGATTTTTTTAATCTTTACCGTTTCTTTCGCAAAGTGCGATCTTTTAGTTCATAGTTATGCTACGACTTCACTAGCTTCCTGCTACGTTTTTTTCCGGTCAGGTTGAGCGGCAGTGGTCGGGGCCGTTACTAGGCGGCCATGCTG